ATTTATTTGTGTGTGGCCAGCTCAGCCCACCAGGGGGCGGGGCTGGCTGGCATGTGGTGCTGGGGGATTGAACCGTGGTCCCTGTGCTTTGCTAGGCTTATTCTGAGTAGGTGCTTTAGACCACTGAGCCATCTCACCAGCCCTGATGTTTTTCTTTTAACAGGCAAAAGTAAAAGTTGACAAAGGTACTTTGTTGGCCAAACTTTATTCAAGCTTCTAAAACTTTTCCTAGAGCTATCTGTGCACTTCCTTTTAAGACTGAGTCTTAGCAAAGAGCTACACTGTTACTGTGCTAACTGATGAACCAGGGGTACAGGGGCAGAGAAGGCAATCTAACCATAACAGTCAGCCCTCAGATAAGTCAGGTTTGGTGTCAGGAAACCAGATCTGAAGACAGGGTCACGACGGGTAGCCATGGTGCAGGTAATCAGGAGGGCTTCTTGGAGGAGACAAGGACTTCAGGAAACATTAAACCCCATCAGAACAAGCAAAACAAAACTCCCACCTTGAGATGATGCCTGATCCTGGCCTTTTTTCACCAAGAATCCTATTAGATCAGTTTAGCCAAAATCCCCTTATCTGTGATGTTTCCTCTTGGTAGTTTTCCATCCATACCCCCAACCCCCTTCCTTGGCTATAAATTCCTATTTGCAAATGCTATACTTAGAGTTGAGCCTAATCTCTTTTCCCAAGTACAAGACCTTGTCACAATGCTCCCAATATCTATGGCAATGGTCTTGAATAAATTCATCCTTCCCATGCTTCAACAAACACCATGATTTACATTTTTTCATTAGCAAGATAATGACCCTTCAGTGAAAATTGCGTTAAACTTTACAGTAGCAAACATTTTATCCCTGTAGTTGCTTAAAGGCCATAGAGAAAGAAAAAAGCAACCCCTGACAGTCCAAGCTGGATGAGCACTCACAAGTGGACCTTAGTGCTTCTGTATGGAACAGAAATAATTTCACAGAACACCAGCAGCGCATAAGGTTACTCTCTGACAGTGATGGGTCATGAGAAAACACGACTCCCTTATCATCATGCTGTGATATTGACAAAAATATATTGTCCAAATCACACAAAAATGGTCAAATATCCTCTATCCTGGCCTTTGTGAGTCTTATTCTCCCTCCTCTAGATAAGTTTATCACACTTGTCAATCACAGAATTACCCAGGACCCAAACCAGAAAACTCAGCTTCTTTAAAGCTTACCCTAAATTATTTTTGAGTAGTGGATCAGCAAAGGAGATTGTCACAGTCTGCAATTTACTGTGGGTTTCTTGACTCCTTGCAAGCAAAAGCCGTTCAGGATATGCCTGACTGCTTAATATTTACTACTTTCACCGACTGATGTATGCTACTATGCAATCAAACTTGTTGGATTACTTTATGTCCACAGTTACTTCAAAATTGTAGCGGAGCACGGTCACATCTGTCTTGATAGAAAGCAGAAAGGGTAGTTGGATGGTAGTTAAACGAACTCCGCTGCTAAATAAAAACAACAGCTGCCGGTTTGGTTTCATTTCTGGTCCAAACGAGCCACAACCCTACCTCAGGGAAACCGCAGAGAAGTCGCCCCACAGCTGCAGATCACTCTGCGCAGGCGCTATTTCCTTAGTACGCAGGCGCTGGTCCCAAGGCTTGGATTGGTTGCTTGTTCCAGCCCTGAGAACCGGAAGTTCGCTCAGGACGGGGCGGGGTGGAGGAGGCTGAGGCTGCGCTCGGGCCCTGTGTGTCAGCGTTGGACGATTTTCTGTTTCCAGTTGAAGGAAGCCCTCCGGTGTGCTGTGGGCCGGGTAGGCCCTTTTCTGCACCCTTCTTCTCTCCAGCCGAGCTCGCCGGTGTGGGCAGACCTTGCCAGGCCGCCGAGGCTCCAGTACTCCCAGCGCCAAGCTTTGTTTGGGCGCTCGGCCCCACCCACCGGAACTCGTTGCCCAGCCCGGGTGAGGCGGTGGGTTGTGCTTCCCCTTGCTGCCGCTGAACCAGGGCTCGTCATTAGGAAAAGGGCCCAGTGAGGTGTTGCAACGCCCCTGTCACCATTGGGCATCAATTTGTCTGTAGAAGGGACTCTTTACAAAAGTGAAGAGTTTGGTGTGGGTTAAGAATACAAAGTTAAAATTTTCTAGGTTTTAAAAGGATCGAAACAAATCTGGGTTACTGCTGGTCTGGGTTACCAGTTTAAGAGATTTTCACTGTGACCTTTTCGTGTTTCTCAGTGTTTAGACTATTTTAATGCAGATGTAGGCGCCTCCTCCGTAAATTGGCTCTTCTTGACAAGCTTTCATATGCACTCTGGGAGCAAATATTTTGGGTCTACTTTTTTGGGCATTTTTAAAAAATATGTATTTAGCAAGTAAAGGCACAGGTGTGTGCCTGAGCATTATGCACAGTAGTATATGTTCAAAAACTGCTGCCCAGTGCTGGGTATCGTAGCGAGCACGCCTGTAATCCCAGCATGGGGGGGGGGCAGGGGGTGCTGACGCAGGAGGGTTGCTGGGAGTTTGAGGCCAGCCTGAACTGCGTAGTGAAACGTTTTCTCAAAAATAAAACAACAAATAAAAAAACTGACCAGTGAGGTAGCTGCTGGTTCCGTAAAGCTTGAGCACTCGAAATATGACTAGGCAGAACTGAGGTGAGCTGTAAGTGCAGTAAATTGGGGGGAAGTTTATATTTTAAAATCCTCAATTTGGTTATATCAATTACATGTTGCATGGGGGGGCCAAAGAGATGTAGTTCAGTGATAAAGTATATGATTAGTCCCTTGTTAACCCCCCAGTGCCATACTGATAAAAGAAAAACTATTTTGGATGCACAGACTTATACATAACATATCAGTAACTACATATAATTATATTTTATAAAGATATATATTGATATATATTTAAATATGCAGTGCATTTATATATATAATTTATATGTGTATTTATATTTGCATATCTAAATATATTTGTATTATAAATTGCATATTTATATAAATGCAGGTGTATAATTTAACATACTATGCATCACTAATATATTGTTAATATATAATTAATACTATAATTAAGTTAATAACGAATACTGTATGTTGTTAATATGTTGTTACTATCTTATTTTCACCTGTTTTGGGTTTAAACCTGTCCATCAGAAAATTTTGTGTTTGTAACTTGATTTATAGTGCTCTGCAATAACACTGATCTCGAAGGGATCAGTCAACACAGTGGGCTGCAGCCTGCTGTGTTTGCAGCAGGTTTTATTAGAAGCAAGCCATGCCCACTCCTTTATGTGGTTTTTTGTCTGCTGTTGCTGCGCCACAAGCCGCAGAGTTGAGTAGCCCGTGCAGAGCTTGTGTGACCTGCAGAGCCTAAAATATTCACTCAGCCATTGTAGAGATGTTTCTCCAACCCCTGCTCTAGAATAGTAGATGCTTTTAAACTTTGTAATTGTAGGCCTAATTTTCAGTCAGGTTTGTCGTGTGATGTGCATCGTTCTAAGTGCTATCTAAAGACTGTCTCATGTAATTTTCATATTAGTCTGAGGATACTGGATATCCCACATTTTATAGATGAGCAAACTGAGGTACACAGCAATTAAGAACCTTGGCCAACTTGCTCACCTCCTTTCACTTCTAGGAACTTACACAGAAGGCCTGGCTGCTCAGACCCACTTGTTTAACCCATTTTGGCCACCACGGTTCGCTTTGATCTTGGAGTTTTAGAGTTATAATTAAATGTTTTTTGTTTTTCGGGGTTTTTTTCCCCGAACTGAGGATTGAACTCAGGCCCTTGTGCTTGCCAGGCAAGCACTTATTCTGCTGAGCTATCTGCCCAGCCTTAGAGTTAGAATTGAGATGGGCTGGTAGCACACACCTGTAATCCCAGCACTTGGGAGGTTGAAGCAAGAGGATCTCTGTGAGTTGGAGGCCAGCGTGGGCTACATAATGAGTTCAGAATTAGCCAGAACTACATAGCAATACTCTGTCAAGAGACAGACAGACAACAAGAAAGGCGAGCTTGACCTCCCAGGGAAGAGGCCAGTGGCATTGACCTTAAGTGTAGCAAAGACAAGCAAGCTGATCTGTAGTAAAAAAGAAATGAAATTCATAGCAGAAAAAAGAGCAGATCTGGATGCTTGACACCTGTTTAAGAAAAAATATTAGTTGAGTAATAGCACTAGGCAGGTGTGTATGGTGAATAAAACAAATGTACTTATTCCCTTATGACCTTGTGGGGAAGGCAGACAAAGAATGTTTGTTAAGCGTGATAGACACCATGGAAAAAGCACGGGGCAATTATTTGATTTAATAGGTTTTGCTCACTTGCAGGATGGAGATGACTGTCTGACTGTCTTGGGCTTCTTGTGCACATAGAGGTGACATGAGTGTGCATGGCACGTAGACTTGCCTAGTACCACTATCAAGAGGTAAGCAAGTGAGTGGATCACAAGAATTCTGTACACTGGGACACTTAAAACATGGCAGTCACCATTTGTCATTTGTAGAAGTTCTCAGGTGGCTTACATAGGGCAATGGTTTGGTATTTTCTGATTTAATTAAGACTTACCTAGAAAAATCCGAAATCAGAGAGGTTCTGTACATTTGCTTAAGGAGCAGAGCTGCACATATCTTTGGGCCTGATGGCACCCTGTGTAGAAGGTCCTGCTGTACATTGGAGATGGAGGGGGTTTGCCTGTGTGGAGTTTAAATCCTCATCAGCTGGAGAACTAAACAAAAACCCAGGCCTACTCTCAGAGACTCTTGTTCATTCTGTGTAACTCAGACTCTGGCATTGTTTTTTCTTGGTATTTTACTCCCAGATGGTTCTTGTGTACATGCAGGGTTGAGAACCAGCCAGAGACAGAGACAGAGACACACAGACTGACTTACTCAGGGACCAGCCAGAGCTAAAACACAGAGTTTTGAAATGGGCAGTCCATCTGGGGTTAAGAGTAGTCTTGGGGGAGTCCTGGGGGCACTTTTTGTCATCTGGTTGAGGACCTTGGGCAGTGTCCTACAGGCGCAGGGGCACTTTTGAAGGGCTTTAAGCTGGACAAGGAGAGACTGTCTTGCAGCATCTGTATGGTACCAGCAATTGGGATGAAGGCTGGCCAGATGGTAGAGAGCTCAGGCACATTTAGGAATCCACCTCCTATGCCCTATGATTGGCCAGTTTCTTCTTATACCCATAAAGCTGTCAGCTCCTTTGAAGCCAAGACTTTACCCTCAGCACCCAGGACATTGTAGCTACATGATAAATACTTGCGGAAGGGCTGGCCAAATAGCTCAGTGGATTAAAGCTCCTGCAAGCAGGTACGGGGCCAGGGGTTCAATCCCCGGACCTGCCATGCCGCCCCGCCCTAGGGGGCACAATGAGATGGCAGTTGAGACTGGGTGTGGTGGCGCATACCTGTAATCCCAGCTCTTGGGAGGCTGTAAACAGGAGGATCACTATGAGTCCAATCTAATAGTGAGACCCTGAACACCCTGTAGACTTCCCTAAAATACAAAAATAAATAAATAAATACTTGGGGAGACAATTATGTAGAACTAAAGTAGACATGCAGCTTACTTCGTCCTCAAATGGTAGTTTTCCAGATTCAGTGTCCCATTAGCTTTTTAGACAGTAAGTACTTTATATCCATGTGATTGTTTCACAAGGAGAATAGAAAGTTCGACAGCATTTCAGTACTATGAAAAATACGGAAGAGAATGGCAAAGCAGTATGGGGAATCATCAAAATCTTAAAAGTAGAATTAGCATATGATCCAGGAATTCCACTGCTAGCACACACTCAACAGAATTGAGAGCAGGGACTTAAGAGCGTAGTTGTACAACCAGGTTCACAGCAGCATTATTCGCAGCAGCCAAAAGGCAGAAGTAACCCAAGTGCCATCAACAGATGAATGGGTAAGCAAGATGTGGCCTGAACACACAGTGGACTGTTGCTTAGCCTTGAGAAGGAAGGACCTCATGCCACACTGGCCGCACCCCTGGGGTGTCAGAGTGCACACCTATAATCCCAGCGCTGGGGAGGCTGAAAACAGGAGGATCACTATGAGTCTGAGCTGCATAGTGAGACCTTGTACCAAATATAGAAAATGGAAAAAACAAAAAAAGGAAATTTGGACACATGGTACAATATGGATGAACATTGAGGATCGCATATGCAGTAGAATAAGCCAGACCCAGGAGGAGTGACACCGTATAATTCCTCTTCAACAAGGTCCAAGAGTAGTGCACAGCACAGTAGAAAGTAGACAAGACAGAAAGTAGAATGTGGCTGCAGGGGCAGGAATCCAGAAGCTTAATGGGCACGAAGGTTCAGCTCTGGGATGGAAAGAGTTACAGAGATGGCTGCACAGCGATGCAGATGTGCTTAACACTACTGAGTTCTACACATAAAAAGGGGCAAGGCAGTGAATTGCATGTTTCATATATTTTGCCACGGTTAAAATCTTTAAATAAATATGAAGAAAAGAAAAATGAACAAAACATGAGAGCTGGGGATGTAGCTCAGTGGGAGAGCACTTGCTCAGCATGTACAAGGACCTGGATTCTACCTGCAATACCAAATAGGGGGGTGGGGAGGGAGGGTAGAAAGGATGGAAGGAAGAAGGAAGGAAGATCTTTTTGGTTGTGTACATGTTAGTACATTAACTTCTGTAGATTATAAAAGGAAAGTCAAAGTTTTGCTGGTGAGACGACTGATGCTTTCATACCCCTGCACCCTCGAAGTTGCAGTTGGAATCCCCCTTCAGATAGCCTGCCTCTCAGCTCAGAAATTCTGACCCAAGTCAAATATCTATATTGGTCACCATGTGCACACTCTCGGGCTGGCCCAGTGAACCATCTTTCAGGAATGTTGCAAAACTTACTCCTAATTTTTCAGTACCAATGCACACAGTACAGGTGAATGTTGCTGTGTTCAGAAACTTTCCAACAAGTAGGGTGGGGCCCAAGGGTCCCAGCAACTTGAAATCTGTCACAAGGTCTCACTATACAGATCGGACTCATAGTAATCCTCCTGTTTTCAGCCTCCCAGGTGCTGGGATTACAAGTATGCACCACCATGCCCAGTCTCATTCGCCATCTCAGCATGCCTGGGGGCAGGGCCGGCATGGCAGGCTGGGGATCGAACTCTGCTCCCTATGTATGCCTAAGCAGGTGTTTTAGTCCACTGAGCTATCTGGCCAGCCCTCCTGTCCCTTTTTATCCATCCTTTATCATTTTTTTTTGTTTGTACTTTGCCTCACACAATGAGAGATACCATAGGTATTTAAGCTTGTGTATCTGGTTTATTTCACTCAACATTATACTTTCCAGGTGCATCCTTTTTCCTACAAGTGTCTGAAATGTGTCACTCTTTATAGCCAAATATATTCCATTATATATAGATACCACATTTTGTTTATCCAGTCACTTGTTCATGTTGCCTATTTATTTATTTACTTGTTTTGTTTTTTGAGATAGGGTCTTGCTGTCTTCCAAGCTGGCCTTAAACTCTTTATGCAGCCAACATTGGCATGGAACTCATGGCAATCCTCCTGCCTCCACCTCCTGGGATTATAGGCATGGGTCACCCATTTCAAGTGGTTCTTAATATGTTCACGGTTGTACAACCCATTGCCATAGTCAACTGAGATTTTTGTCATTGTTCCCCAAGAAAAGCTCTGTACCTATTAGCAGCCTTGTCCCTTTCCCTTTGACTCCCCTTCCATTGTTCCCCGCCATACCTAGTCAACAACTGTTTCTTTCTTGGTAGATTTGGTTTTTCTGGACATTTCATGTAAAAAAAATACAGTATGTGGTGGTTTTGTCTGGCTTTTTCACTTAGCATAGTGTCCTCAAGATTCATCCATGTTATAGCATGAACGTGCTGCATTTCTGTTGGACTACACAGATTATATGGATATACTCCATTTTACTCACTTACTAATGAGTTGGTGCACATTTGGGGTTTTTCCATTTTTTAGCCATTATGACTAGTACTCCTATGATTGTAAAAAAGGCTTTTGCATGGACAGAATTTAATTTTTCTTGAGCAGATCTATTGGACCATGTGGTAAGTCCATGTTGAATCCGGTGTCTACTTCTGCATCCTGATTTTTTCGTATAACATCATGCTATGACTGTTTTGCCATGTCATTAAATATTGTCTAGGGGCAGCGGAGATAGCTCAGTGGAATAAGCACTTGGCCTGGCAAGCGTAAGGACCTGAGTTCCATGCCCGGTTCCACAAAAAAATAAATAAATAAAATTTCTCTAAACATATAACACTAAATTATTATATTATGATATCATCCTAAGAGTGTGCTATATTTTAACCATTCTCCTCTCTTGTGCCCTTCTAATTTTCTTGTGAGTTTGAAGAAAATTCTTACCTATACATCCTTCACATCTCTCATTTCCTTGAAGTCATTTTACAGACTAGAATAACTGACTGAAGTTACATTTTATTTTAGAGCAATTGTCAGATGATTTCTAGGGAGATTGCATTGAGTTTTTCTGTAATTCAGTATTGTTAGCCTGTGTATGTTTAGTGATGATTAAGTACTATGAAATGGAGCCCATGGAATTTGAAAAGATAGAGTCCATGCTATCAGGATGTTTAGAGTATGCTCACATGTAGACGAGACATATGAAGCTAGGAGTTTTATGTAGGCAAAGTACATTGTGTGCAGAGAAAAACATACCAGTTACATAAAGTATTTGCCTGCCCATGATGAGATTCTGGTAGACATAATCATCTAGCAGCTTTTTGCAATTAAAAATTATTTTAAAAAAACAAAACTGTAAGAGCAAGGCTGACACAGGAGGGTCCCAAGTTCAAGCCCACATGGGCAATTTAGTGACTTAGGCAGAACCTGTCTCAAGAAAAATATAACCAATCACCTGGGGGTGTAGCTCAGTGTGAAGACCCTGAGTTCAGTATGTAGCACTGAAAACCAGAACCCAAATCCACCCAGCATTAAGCATTTAGACCAAAGTCATAAATATCTGTATTATTTACTTGTTGTTGAGAAGACTCAGATGACACACAGTGTGGCCTGTGGACTTTCAGGGTCTGCAATACCTAGCATCAGCTGCTTCCCATCCTGTGCTGTGGTAAAATTTCTTTAGATTCCTTGAGACATGTGCATCCTTCTCCCCTCTTGCTTTTTATTCTTTCATGTGCAGAAAAGTACCACTTTAAAGATACAACGTCAGCAAATATTTCAGTTATATTGCTGAATATGAGGGAAAAAGCAACCCAGCATTGCTCAGCATTGCCCTGTTGATGCTGACACGGGCATGATTTCATCCCCAGCATGATCAAGTTCTGCCCAGATGAACTGACTAATCTCAGTCTAGAAAGACACTGATTTGTACAACTAGAGGCAGAAGAAATTAGAACTATTCTTCAACTGAGCATCTTTTCATACGGCAAAATGCTTTGTATTGCCACCTTGTCCTTCAACTACTGGGCGTAATACTCTTGAAATGCTTATCATGCCACATCTCAGATTCCATTTTGTGACACATCACACCCATTTCCATGACCTTACTCCTTCAGAAAACGGTGCTTGGGTAACTGGTTGAAAGTGCTCGGTCACTATCCAGGCTCTCTTAACTAGCAAAAATGAACCTAAGAAAACTGAAACTTCTTTGTTTCTTTGCAGCTGGAAAGATGTCTGACAGAAACCACACAGCTGCCAAAGCTTCCCTTATTGAGCAACTGATGTCAAAAAGGAATTTTGAGGATCTTGGCAACCATCTTGCCGAGCTAGAAATGATTTATGTGACTAAGGAGCATCTCCAGGAGACGGACGTGGTCAGAGCTGTGTACAGAGTCCTCAAGAACTGTCCCTCAGTGGCCTTGAAAAAGAGAGCCAAGTGCTTGCTGGCAAAGTGGAAAGCTCTTTATAAGGAGACTCACTTGAAAACAAGAGACAGCCTTAAATTGTCCTCTCCAGGTGGTAGTAAAGAAGAAAAGGCCACAGTTTCTCTGGACCACCGTCCAGAGGAGATGGTGGGCAGCTGCAGTTCTGATTCTCTGCCCTCATCTCAAGACGTTGCAGCCCCCACAGAAATGATCATACCCCAAAATAGCACTGGCAAAACGGATGCTAAAGAAGAACATTTCGGGAGTGGTGACCCTAAACCCACTGGCAGTGGGCCAGGTGAGTTACAGGATCCTACAATGCCCCTGAGAGATAAGTGCATCGAGCTTCTCTATATGGCTTTAACTTGTTCTTCCCCAGATCAGGCAAATGCTGATTTGTGGCAAAACTTTGCAAGAGAAATTGAAGAACACATTTTTACCCTTTACTCAAAGAACATCAAAAAATACAAAACTTGTATCCGAAGTAAAGTTGCCAACTTGAAGAACCCCAGCAATTGTCACTTGCAACAAAACTTGCTCTCTGGGACTATGTCTCCAAAAGAATTTGCTGAGATGACCGCCATGGACATGGCCAACAAGGAGCTGAAGCAGCTAAGAGCTGCTTACACAGAGTCCTGTATCCGGGAACATTACCTTCCCCAAGTGATGGATGGCACACCCACAGCCAAGATCAGATGCAGGCGCTGTGAGAGATACAATTGCAAGGTTACTGCGATTGCCAGAGGGACACTTTTCCTTCCAAGTTGGGTGCGGAATTCAAACCCAGATGACCAAATGATGACCTATGTGATTTGTAATGAATGCGGCGAGCAGTGGTACCATAGCAAGTGGGTGTGCTTGTAATTGTACACAGATGTTTCCTTAGTCACAGATACCTCGAGGGTTAACTTGTATTTGCACAACCCTTTTGTGCTTGTTAAAAAAAAATTATATATACCTTTCTCTTTTTTTTACTTGAAAAAGCATACTTTATTTCAGTGGCAAGCATTTTCATCAATATTAAGAGGCGTACTTGGGCTCATGAGCAGAAGTTTCTCATACAACCTGGATATATTTCCTGTCATATGTATGCATATGTATATATGTAAATTTTCTTCAAGTTGCTAAATTGCCCAGAGTAGTTTGGAAATTGTGATGCTCGTGCTATGAGGGCTGGGTTTAGAGACATGTGCCTCCTCACCCAGGTGTAAATTGCCTTGATTTTAATAATCTGCCTCTTTATTTTATTTACTTATGGGGGGTAGTGAAGCAAGGTTTCACTTTGTAGTCCAGGCTGGCTTTGAATTCATTATATGGCCCATGGTGATTGATCCTCTTGCCTCAGCCTCATGAGTGCTGGAATTATAGGCATGCACCACTATAATCTGTCTCTTTAAAAAAGTAGACTTATCTTACTTTTTGCCAATTCTGGAGCTTAAAATGAATCCGGCAAAGAACAAAGAAAGTCCTCCAAGAATGCCAGCATAGTATATACTGTATATAGTTTGCCAAAGAGACCCACACAAGCATCTACTCCTCTGCCTCACCAGTGAATGAGTACTACAGTGCATTATTTGAACGTAAATCTAAATATTCTCCCTGTTTAGCTCAAGAATAGTACCAGGAGAGCTAAGCATCACTTATCTACATTTCTTTATTGCTAGGGAGAACATTTGTAAATCACAATGAGACTCGTAGAACCCTTGCAGAGAAAAGCAATTTCCTGAGGAGTGATTCCTTTCCTCAGGATAGACCATGGAAGCCCTGACAAAGACCAGACGCAGAGCTTAGCTCCTGAGGCTGTGCTTTTGAAACAGCCTCCACCACCTTTAACTATGACTCCTGACTTTAACGAAAGCTGAGGCAGATTATTTAAATTTACCTTGCAGTGTTCACATCCTAAAGGAAGGGGCTTTTCTGAAAAAGGAGGTCCCGAAGGAAAGTAAGAGGGTTCCCAAGAGAGGCTGTCTCACAATTTCTGACAGAAGTGGTAGAGATAAAGAGCCATTTCTTGGGGACGGGGAAGTGTAAGGGCCTGAGTTCAATACCCAGTTCTCAAAAAAAAAAAGACATTTATTTATACTAACTTTTAGGAATCTTCAGTCAGTTTTGGCAAACTAAATCAGGACTACTGAATCATAGCCCCATTAAAAACCCTAAACAGTCGCTTGAAGTTTGAGAACAGAGCAAACTGGCAGGTTAAAGAAACAATAGATCTATGTTTAAAAGAGGCAGGGGGCACTGTCCTATAATGAGTGCTACTCATACTCCTACTAAAAGTTCCTTGTTTTGTGATTTAGTTCTAGTAATCATAAGCAAAGAGGTATCTTCCCAAAATGACAAGAGTTTTCATGCATGGTAGACATTAGCTTACTTTGCTCCTTTAGATACTTAAAAAACATAAAGTAACTATTTTCTATTTGATTTCTTTGTTGAATTGTGTTACACTAAAATTCACACTTCTAACTTGCTTTTCCTAAACTAGTAGGATATCCTGATTACAGGTGTCATGTGGATAGTTGTGTTCTTTCAGCATCAAACAAAATCAGAAGAGTTTTGTAGTGTACAGTAATATGACTACTTTTTTAAAAAGGTCAGTTACTCGGGAAGCTGAGGTGAGAGGATGGCTGTGAGTTCGAGGCCAGCCTGGGCTACATAGTGAGCCCTTGTCTCAAAATCAAAAACGAAACAGAAGTTTAGTCATTGTGACATGTTGATCGATACACAAACATAAATGGTCAGAACTGGGGGCATAAGATCTTTATTTTCCCCCTAGTGTATTACACTCTTTGCAGAAGAAATAGTCTAGGGCTGCCAGATAGATCAGTGGATTAAAGTGCCTGCTTAGGCAGAGCGCATTGGCCAGGGTTCGATCTCCAGCCTGCTGTGCCAGCCCCACCCCTGGGGTGCACTGAGACTGGGATTGAGACTGGACATGGTGCCACACACCTGTAATCCCAGCACTTGGGAGGCTGAAAACAGGATCACTATGAGTCTAATCTGTGTAGTAAGGCCCTGTACTAAATACATTTTTTAAAAATCCCAGCATTTGGGAGGCTGAAAACAGGAGGATCACTTAGGAGTCCAATCCGTGTAGTGAGACCCTGTAGACCCTGTACTAAATACATTAAAAAAAGAAAAATAGTCATCTGCAGAAGACCACACAGCTACAAATATAAAGAATACTGGACTGAACCTTATCTCAGACCTGTTTTTAGAGTTCAGAACTGAATAAACCATACAGCTCTATGTCATTAGATAGTATCTTGTCTTGTGTAAAATTCTTCAGAAGCCTAAACCTGTCTTTATCTGTTACCTGCAAACATTGCTCGAGAGAAAATGTTTGGAAATATTTGTCAGCATGCTTTCTCCAAGTCCCTAGCCATAGCAGATCCCAAATCTCTTTCCTTGCCATACAGTGTTTGTCTGTTTATCTGTTTCTTTGTGTTTTGTTTTATTTTTGAAACAAGGTCCCACTATGCAATTCAGGTTGGCTTTGAACTCACTATGTAGGTCAGGCTGGCCTTGAACTTCTGGCAGTTCCTTTTGTCTTGGCCTCCTAAATGCTGCCTGCCATACAGTTTTCTTTCTTGCTTTCTTTTCTTGCTTTCTTTTCCTTTTTTTTCTTTTTTTTTTTTTTTTT